CCAGCATTCTGAAAGAACAGCCTCTTATATCTGATTTTCAAAGAAAAAGAATAGCAAGGAGAACTCAACAATACCAGACCTATAATTCTACTTGAAACAATACGAAAGTATTTTATCAAGATTCTTAATAACTAGTTAGCATTAATATACAAAAAATACAACATACTTAAAGGTCCCAACTTCACAGGCCTTCCAGGGGAAAGTACTTCTGATCCAATTCAATTGCTTAACAATATTTATAAAGAAGCTTATGAAGAGAAAAAAAAATTATGGATTCTATTACAAGACACTGCCAAGACATATAATACTGTTAGTCTTGAAATGCTTAAACAAGCACTCCAAAAAATCAAAATATCAAAGAAAATCACCAGACTTATCTTGAATCCCTTCAAGCAAAGAAAAATTAAGGTCATTACAGATATAGAACTTATCAAGGAAGTAATGGCAGGAGATGATATAGATCAAAAAGAAACAATTTCTCCACTACTCTAGAAAATCTTCTATGATCTGTTGCTGTGTGAAATTCAAGAGAATGAAATACTGGGCTATTCAATAAATTGTTCCTGGACATCAAATCTCAGCAAGTTACTTAGTAACCCAAGCTCAATAGAAAACTTATTTCTTAAGCAAGCAGCAATCACCTACATGAATGACATAACATTGATAGCTAGATCTCAAAAAGACATGGAACTAATTCTCAAAAGAGCTAAATAGTTTTATACAACAAACAACTTCCAAATTAATAGCAACAAATCAGTTTTTATTACAATAAATAGTAACAACAAAGACTCAAATATAATTCACTTAGGAATCAAACAAGAAGAAGTCAAAGAACTGGATCACAGAAGTCATACAAGATTTCTTGGCATATGGTTAGGTAATAAAGACCAAACAAAAGATATCATTAATAAAATATAACAAGAAATTCATGAAATCCTACTAAATTTGAAAAAAAGTTAATAACGGACAAGCATGTGAAGTACAATATTAACAGAGTCCTGATACCAAGAATAAAATGCAGAATACAACACAGTTAAATCAACTTCTACATAGCCAATCATCTCTCAGTACAATTAAGAAAAGTATTTAAAAGAGTAGCCCATATAATGGAAACAATTCCCAACTCTGTGATACATTACAAACTCTTTTACAAAATCAAAAGTATAGAGAAGATACAGCTAGAGAACCAAATCATCAACTTCATATACAGATTGAATAATCACAACCACTCATGTAAATCGACCCTAATCAAACTTAAACAAGCACAAATACAATATTGAGAGCCAACAAATCTTTTCACTGAAAATATTGCTAACAACAATTACAAAAGAAATCTCTCAACACAAATATTCAAGGCAGCAAACAAAATGGGAATTACATTTCCAGACTCTTAATGGACAAATATATTTCAATGGAAAGGAGGGCATATAATAATCAAAACTCTTTTAAATAGCCCTTCCTCTTATAGCAAAGCAATAAAGTCCTTAAGAAAATATAACATCATGTTTGTAGATCAGCTAATAGATAAGGAATTCAACATGCTCCTAAATTGGAAAATACTACAATTCCCAAAAAATCAAGAACAAGGACCTACACCAACATGGTATCAATTAATGAAAAAAATATTAGCAAATAATTATAGTGTCTTTAAGCAAAAATGATCGGGATATGATTGGATACTCCAAAATAGACTACTTTTCATACTTAATGAAAACACAGACCATAGGAAATAGAACTGGCAAGTAAGTACAAATAATGATGAAGAGCAAAAACTGGTTTGGTTCAGAAATAAAAATGCATAAGCAACAAACAATTGAGATATAAAATACTTTCAGATTGGAGTAGGAAAAAACCCAAACACAATTAAGTTTACAAAGGTTGAAGCTAATTAAGAACAAGCCAACAAGAATACTGTACTCACTATTAATTGGATAAACAAGATTACCAAATACAGAAAAAGCAAAGAGCTAATAATACCAATCAAAACACATATATTAGAAAGTCAGGCCAAAACAAAATTGGAAGAACTTCACTTAAAAAATATAAACATATCCAAACTCCAATACGTAAAGATAGAAGACCATGGCATATAGATAATTCAAGACAACATAGAGTCAAAAGAATACTGAAAATGGCTATATATAGAATATAGACTCAATATGAATCAGGACAAAGAAAACACTTATTAATTTTACATAGATGGAATCATAAGCAAAATATCAGATCAGTTCACAAAGATGGGAGCAGCATGGCTTCAAATAGAAAAACAAAATTTAGGAAAAACGTTTCAAGTAGGAGTTGGTAGTTGGCCCTTTTTAACAAGAGCAGAATTAGTAGTAATTCTTCTGACAGTAATAACTATACCAAATGATAGAAGGATGGAAATCAAAACAGATAGTACCAACTGTATTAATATCTTCACAAATCTAAGCAAACTCCATTCTAAAGAGACACTAAGAAGACAAATAAAAATACCAAACTGGCAGCTATGGTTAAGACTAATGAATACAGTTACAAGGAAAAGAATCCAATTGAAACTTATCAAAGTCAAAACCCACAGCAAAGACATACTAAATAATCAAGCAAATTAGTTAACCAAAGTAGCAAAAGAAGAGTCAATAATCATATAGAAACCATTGTCAACAATAATCCCAATCACAATACTAGAATGGAACAAGATCCCCATAGACATCTCAATTAAAGAATTTATTAAAGATGTTAATATAAGAAAAATTTTAATACAATGGACATTTCTTAACTGAATACAATAGAGATGGAAAGAGAAGATAACAAATCATAACAAAATTGATTGAAGAGGTTTTTGTCAACATAACAATAACAAAGGATCACTAACTACCTTATTTAAACAGATAAAAGAAAAAATATTCAAAATTAAGCTCTTACATAACAAATTATCAATTCTGGATAACTTAGTCAAGTGAAACACCCAAGAATTAATAGCAAATATCAAATATGTTTTTTGTCTAGATTATGAAGAAACGATAGATCACTTGGCAACTTGCAACAAACTTTAAAAAGAAAAAAACAGGATATGGGAAAATATCCTTAACAAGCTGTGTACATCCTGGATCACAAAGTATATCAACAAAGACAAAAAGAAAGTCAAATGGAATCTAATACCAATCTATAGAATAATGGAAAGATGGAGAATCAAAAAATTGTCATTAGCAAAAGAACTAATAAACATCAGTATGGAATTGTGGACAAAAGAAGAAATACTAGAGTGGACTCAGATATGTCATGCACTCAATATATACAAAGCAGCAGCCCGAAAGATCTTAAACAAAATATCTCAAGGCTGAAGTAATGAGTTTCATCAATAAATCTGAAATACAAGATGTGAAAAAATCCACAACTGGAAGAAAGCACATAACAAAGAAAAAGAAAGAGAAGCAGATTACAACTCGAGAATATCAAGGGAAGTCTTCAAGTCCAAAAAAAAACACAGACCACAGGAGAAGAAAAAGAAGACAATAGCAATACCAGCAGATACAAGTCTTGTAACCAAAGGTAACAAGATTTCAAAAATCCTTGCACAGACCTTATGAAACAAGATAAAGGAGGGAACCAAATGGTTAGGAATGTAAAGTAATCAAGATTTTGCCAAGATGAACTGTAGTGATGAACTGCAAGCAATAAGCTCAAATTCTCTTAGGAACAGAGGAAATAAGCGAGCAACATTATTCATCTCCAAGATTATACTTAGAGATTAACAATCAGAAATGGATATTCAAGTATTAGCTTAGTTTATGCATAAAAGTTTCACACTTGTATGTTTTCAACTTTAATGATTAAATAAACATAATAAATACTTGTTTGATTACAGAAAAAAAAAATTAATTTAATTTTTTTTTGACCAATTTTTAGAAGCATGTCACAAGAAACTATTTTCTATTCGTTCAGGAGCAACATCAGAATTTGAAGTATTATCAGATATATTAGATGCCGAAGTATCATTAGAATTTTTCATTTTGGTAGAGGTGGTATTAACTGAAGATTGATCGATTCCCTTGGCATCATCATCTGATTTAACAATAAAGTTCTTTTTATCAGTTTTCGATTGCTTCTGTTCTAATTTCGCAACTCTAGCTTTAAGCTCAGCATTTTCAACAGCAGTATCTTTATCGTTCTTCTCCAGTTTCGCAAATCTGGATTCATGTTCTTACAAAGCCTGTTTTAATTTTACGTTCTCGGCTTTAAGTTCGATGTTCTCAGCCTCAACTTCAAAAATTTTTTCCTAAGTTCAGGAATCTCGGTATTCTCTTTTCTAAGTTCAGTAATCTCAGATGCAAGCCTAGAGTTTAATTCTTTCAAGGTATTGATTGTTAGTTGATCGTTCGACATTGTTTTATTACAAAATAGGATATATTCAAAAGGTTAACCACACAAAAAATATTATAAAAATCGTGTTAACATGCCTTTGCTTTATTGATTGTAATAAAATCGAAAATAATCAAATCTATATATTGTTTATATACTATTGCCTACACCATAAGTTTTCGTTTGTCTAAACTATCTATATTAACACATTATCTCAATATTAATTATAATCTGGTTTCGTTTGTTATAGATATTCTGAATAGAATAAAAATGGTTGTATCTGTACGAAACGTGCACTGTCAGAATGAACAAACTATCGGTTATCTAGCAGTAAACTAATTTATCTTTTTTCGAACTGGAAAACCTGCGTTTCCCGTATTTTCGATGCTAATAAATTTCTCGAAAATCTGTACGAAAGGATAATCATTAGTTTGCAAGCTCAAGTTGATTCATTAGAATACACTGTCATACCTTAATCGCGTGTTCAGAACTTTTGCCAAAAATAAAATTATTATTATTTCTGATTGCAGGTTCTGATCGAATCCAATATACAAAACAATCGCTTCAATCATAGGTTTCAGGAGGTAATATAATATGATTACATATTTGATGTATCGCTTAGGCACTTAGAAATAGCGGTTGTAGTTGATACGGCAGTTATGACACGTGACATACCCAGTTGAAATCTGTCAAATCTGAAAAGTTATAAACAATTACGGACAACTTGCATATACGAGGGTACGCGTTAAAAAAAAAAACCACTAACCACTTTGCATGTCTTATCGACAAAAATTATAAACATGTCTACGCGATCAATGCGATCAACGTCCGCTCTCAAGGCTTTTTACCATGACACCAAGATCGAAAACTGGACGTACAATAATATGGTAGAATATTATCGTTCGAAGTTGAAACGAAAAGATAAGAAAGAAGTTATATTATAGATCGTATAAAAAAGGACCTTCAGGAAGTGGCGAACTCAGACTCTAAATTTGATATGACACGCAAGAGAAAAGCTCAAGATATTCTTGACAACTGGAAGGTCTGTTTATTAATGATGTAAAGAACTGCTCATTTTGGTCTGAATGAGTTAAGAACTTAGTCCAACAGTTATGAATTGCTAGTTCGACGCTTAGTGCAAGCTGAGATTGCTAGTCTCAGTGATGAATTGCTAGTTCGACACTTAGCGCAAGCTGGGACTGCTAGTCTGAAGGATAGTTCCTAGTTCGATTGCTGTATATACTATATATACTATATGCTATATAGTTATTGGGAACGTTTTTATGTATTAATTATTAATTATGCATTTCATTTTCAAAGATTTGGACTACACAAAAGAATTCGAAACGTTCCAGTGATACAAAAATCGGGCGTCTGCAGGTGAGTTTCTAGTGTGAAAATTTTTCAAGGCAAAAAAAAATATTTTCAATATTTTCACAAAATTAGGTAAAGAAGATAAAACATCTTGCAACCGGAGGATCAACCCAAATGTTTAACGACAGCAATATAACGCTTGGATTACGTCAAGAAAATGAAGGAGAACCTTCTTCAACTAATCAAGCACAAAATAAAGAGTCAATACCTATTGAAGAATGTGAAAAAGAAGTGATTTCCAACCCAGATTACATAAAAAACGATAGAGTAAGTAAATACCAACATGTTTCAATTTCTTTGAACTTAATTATTGATCCGTATTTTTCGATTTAGCAAAACAATAAACTCACGAATGCCAATGATAATAATATAAACGAAGACGAGTCGAATGTTCCTGATTTGAACGAATTTGATAACGCATATCGTAACCTGGATCCGCGAAAAATGTGGTGGCTAATAATATGAGTTTATAAATATTAATAGTTCTATTTTGTTTTACTTTTAGTTTCTTTAATTATTAGTAAGGGATTTTAAAGGTATTAGAATAATTAGGATGAAACACTAATTTATTATTTCATTATTTCATTTTATATTACATGAATATGATCTCCAGAGAATCAATAAGATTATATATATTATTTTAGACTTGTATTTTTACTTTATTTATTTATATTAGAAAAACATATATTTAAAGAAATTCTTTTTTTTTTGAAAAATAACAAAGCTATCTAGTTTTTCTTATATTTAATAAAGTTTTCCTTTATTAATTATAAACAAATGCATTGCTTGACTTTTTAACATAAAATATTATACAAAATAGTATTGAAGTAATATTGTTAGAAGCCCTAATTATTGGATATAGATTCTATTTGCTTTTTTGTTTTATTCAAAAAATCTATATTCACCTTTTGAAGAATTTGAACTTATATCTTATGATTTGACCTGTAAAATACTAACTACTATACTACAGATCCACAGGTTTTATATAAATAAAGTTAACAAAAGAATCAAATTTTAAATAATATATTTAAAGCCTAACATTTTATATAAATAGTTAATAACTTTTCAATTAAAAAATAAAAAAAATGTAAACTGAATACAGAAAAAAAATAAACAAATATATTAAAAATATTCATCTAGATAAAGTAATAATATTGCTTGTCAAAGAAATAACAAAAAGCTTAAAACTATTTAATTATATAATAAACAACTTGCTATAAATACAAATCTTATTGAACTTAATTAGATATACATATAATTAGAATTATATAATATCAGAAACAAATGGTAAGATTTTAGTTAAAATCAATAATACAAATTTAAAATTCATTAGCATAGTTATAGTCTTGAAAATTGAAATTAAACAAACTTGTATAAATTTGTATAAGATTCTAAACACTAATAATAATAATAATAAATTATAATCCATATATTAAATTTAATATAGATCTGAGAATCAAGAATTAAATCAAATTAAATTATTAAAATTCTTAAGTACAGTTATAATGTGACATGATGAGTCTGTTACTTTGGTCTGATCTACATCATATAATGGTTATTAAATTATTTTACTTCAAAATAGACATGTATGTTTTTGGTCAAGTATATATTATTAATCTGTTAATTTATTATAGTTTATCAAATATGACCAACTCTTTTCTTAATTGCTTTACTTGTTACTTTTATACTTCTTTACTATATACTTGATATATTTAATATACCTGATATACCTGATATACTTGATATACTTATTATATTCAATAGATTCAATTACCTTTCTTTATTTTTATATAACTATTTTTATCTTTAACAATAAGATAAAACTATTATCAATAGAAATATTTAATTATTTAAATCAATCTATAAGAGAATTGATTAATTATTATAAATAAAATCAAATAGTTATTAATGAAATAATTAAAAAAATTTTTGAAAAAATATAAAAGAAAATCAAAAAAATTGCAAGTAACATAAAATAATTATATTACTATAATTGAGAAAAAAACTCCAATTATAACTTAAAAAAAATAGAAATTGAATCAAATAATAATATTAATGGAATAATAATTATGTAATTGAATGAAATCCAGCTTTGTTATTTATAAAAATATTTATTCAATATGTTAACAAAAATCACAAGAATTGAAATTAATACAATTATTGGATCAGAAAATAAAATTCAATAATAGCAATAATAATCAAAATATTGTTATAAAAAATTTTATTAAGCTCAAGTTAAAAAACAAAAGTACAAAGAAAAAATTTGAATATATTGAATAACAAGATATTGAACAAATATTTTAAAACTTTGAATAATATTTATTATTAGAAATTTATTATTAGACAATTAATAATTTTATGAATAATACATGAAATATATTTTTCAAAATTATTTTATTTTTATTTATAGTATTAGAATATTTTTTGAATATTAAATAATCATTGATAATCTTAATTCTTAGAAATCCATAACATATATTAATTAAGGACTAATTAGTTATATAGTACTAAGTATAGAATAATATTTGAGACTATAGCATTTTATAAAATTATTATTATTATTATTATTATTATTATTATTGTAAGTAAACATCATTTCTTTATTTATTTGTATAGTAATAGATATACATTATAAAAAAAACAATATCTTTCATATATATGTACTAGTACAATAAGTTAAATGCTAGCTTACATACAGTAATCACTAGACTAATATTGAAAATAAATTTTAAAACAATATATCTTGTTAAGTGGCTCTAAGCAGCTATGATTATCTACTCAGCATTGGATGGAAGGAAGTTAGAAAGATATAAAATTAGTTTGGAAATGCATTTTATAAAATTATTCAATATTAGTTATTATTATATATACATATATATATTTTCTTTTATTCTTAATTATATACTGTCATATGCCAATCCAACCTCAAAGATCAGTATAGGACGAAGAACTGATAGCAGGGAGACACTTTATTTAGGACATAATCCTAATGTGGTGTGCTATAGTTCATAGAGAACATACTTGAGGTTGCAACAATCATAAGGCAAGAGGCAGAACAATTATAATTGTA